AGAAGGTAACAACATGTACAGGAAAGCAATGCGAGTCAACTCCCTGTACAGCTGTCCTTATCTCAACTAGCAAAAACCCTTTCTCCTTCCTATTAGTGCTTATATTCTCTCTTCAACAAAATTTGAGATAAGGGCAAAATAGTTTCTGCCTGGTAGCAAGGGTTGGGGGGGTAAGGGAGGGGGTGGGGGGAAGGGGGGAGAAATGACCCAAACATTGTATGCACATATGAAAAAAACCAACTTTGTGAAAAAGTCCAAGATAAGTAAGATACTTCCCGATTTTAAAAAAAGATATAAATATTAACTAGCTATCCCACATGTTCATTATTTGAGTTCTAAAGTATGGAGTTATACTCAATAATACTAAATTGTTTATGGCTACAAGAACTAAGAGTTTTTTTTGGCTGTGCCATGACTATTAATTTTTGAAACTTTTTATTGAATTAGAAAATCCAGATTTTTAAAAAGATCCAAATATGAATTCACATAATAGATAGTAATGGCTATGGCTTAGCAGTCAAATAATGTACAAATTTTGAAAATGAGTAACGTTGTACAGCATATGCTCAGCTAAATGAAGTGGCCCTGAAAGAGGCTATAAAGACCCACTGTGTCTTTGCCTCAGAGCATCTGCTGTTTCCCCATGCCTGCTTGTTACTCTCATTAAGTAGAAATAGCACTCATGATGTGAAAACCACATTTAAACAATACAAAGGTTAAGAAAAGTGGTAGAAGATCAATATAAAAAGACCTTTCTACCAAAAGCAAACTTGTCTAGGAGAGTGCAAAAAGAAATTGTGGAACTGGCAAATGACTAAGAATTCTGGTGGGACCCCATGGAAGGGATCCTCACTGGATTTAATGAAGATTCTTCAGACTACTGAGCAGCAGGACTTGTTTTATCCAACTGTGTAGGGACTTAAAATCCATCCTGCCCTATACAGGGTGTGAACCTCAACTGTCAACTGGCAATAACCACAGTGAACGTTTTCCCAACACATTAAAAACATAATTGTCCCTGTCTGAGAACCATGTGCTGAAGATGTTCACCTGTTTTTTTGTCTTGTTTTGTTTTTAAATTTGGCCAGGGAATAAATTCATTTGTATTTTCAATCACTGGTGGTTTTGTCCTTCCTTCAGCAAATCTGAAGTTACACTAGAATTGGTCTTATTATACTGTTTTCTCATGACTTTTTTTTAAAAACACAGTTTATCACTTAATTATAATTTATCCTTTTTCAACACAAAATATCCATCCTTATACTTCTATTAGTTCATCATTTTAAAATATCAAAGAGAAGAGTGTTTATGGGAAAATTTTAAGTCTTATCTCCAAATCCTGAATGCACAAGATAGGAAATTATAACAAAACTTGCCTGGAGATGCTTTTTCTAAAAAAAAAAAAAAAAAAAAAATTTAAATTAAATTTAGTATTTTGGAGAAAGGGTCTCACTATGTATCCCTCTTGCCTCCGTGATTACAGAAATGTATTACCACCATCACCACCACATCTGTGCCCGCTCCTTTTTTTGGGGGAGACAGAGTCTTACTCCATTGCCCACGCTAACCTAACACTTGCTATGTAGTCCAGGCTGGCCTTTAACTTTTGATCCTACTACCTAATCCTCCTGAGTCCTGGGATTACAGGCATGAACCACAGTGCTGGACATGGAGAGTCTATAAATAATATTCTCACACATAAAGGAACAATGATAATATTAATTATAATAGAAAAATTTAAATATAGTATAAATTTATCAGTAGTCTAAATAAATAGTATGAATTTATCAGTAGTGTGATATGGTATGTTATGCTATTATTACAATGTGTGTTGGTGGAGTGGATTTTTATTAAGCTCCACAATTCTGTTGGTGATTTCCTAGTTGAATTTCATACTCAGATGTATGTGTTTATGTCAGAAATTCAAAAGTCCCATATTTATAAATAGCCACAAATGGTTTGCTAAATAAATCAACCAGCTTTTAATTGATAAATTACATGTACCCAGCGAATTTCTCATGTTACAAAAATGATTACATTTGATGACAGAGATAGAAACAGAACAATAATAAATCTGACATTTTTTCTTTGCTAAAAATATTAGTATTATCCAGGACACACAAAAAGCATCTGAATGTGTGAATGAGTAAAATGAATGAATAACTGGGCATTTCTTAGGCCTCAAATGTATTCATATATACTACTTTTTCTTTACTGGAGTAATTTTCCTGTAATAATTATAACTTCTGCTTTTGATTTAAAATCAAAGTAATTTTAAATCAAATCTTGGATCAGTGACTTGCTAGTTGATGATCTTGACAAGAGTACCTTTAAAATAAAGACTATATCCTACATATTGTGAGGCCTAAATAAAATAAAGTGTGACAAGTTATAGGTAGAGAGATTGTCACACTGGATGCATTTGACTAACTGAATTCCTTTAGCCATTATATCCCTCTCTGTGTCAAATTCCAGGTTTGGGTCTTGGAAAAGACTGATGAGGAAGTTACTAGTGCTCCTGAGTCTCTAGGAGGCTCAAGGGGTCTTACTTTCTGGCCATGTCAATAGAGGTATAAGCTTATACAACAGCCCAGACAGGCAGAACAGAAACAAAATAAAAGAAATCGTGCTGAGAAGCAAAGCAGGCACGAGGTGTGGGGGTGACATGTTCTCTTTTCTTTCATTAAGCTGGAAGCCAAGCAGCTCATTGTTCAGCACCTCATCCCATGGACTCATGGGAGAGAGGAGAGTTTAAGAACTCTGGCCTGTTGAACAGGGAGACTGAAGCTCAAGGGCGAGATGATTCGCATGAGGCACCACAGCTGGTGTGCAGGGCATCCAGGAAAGAAGCCCAGCATACTCAACACTTGACCCATTTGTCTTTCTTCTGAGCAGTTATGCCTGTCCTTGCCTGCTCAGACACAGAAGGTGACAGTGCAGTGAGGACACGGAATTTCTAATCCCTCTATCAGCTGCCTGTTACTGCACAACCCCCAAAGGATATACTAGACAACACACATAGAAAATCTCTTATTTTTTACTTCTACTTAGGGTTTGTTTCCCACCCCTATAGTTCTCATTTTTTCTCGCCCTAGTGTGTTCAGGGCTAGAATCTTAAGGACACTTACTTACCCTTTAGCCAATGCCTGGATGCCACCCAAGTCATGGGGTTTGCTCCTGGCTTACTTGCTATGGGTCCGTTGGGATCATGCTTGACTTTCTAAGGGCACTAGGCATCCCTGCAGGGGCACCTCCCAGGTGGAGAGCCTAAAGAGGAAGAGTCACTATAAAGAGTAATAGTTATTGCCATTTTATAAGTGCCTCACCTGCAGTCAGTAATATTGTGGATGGCTTACATAATTGTCTCCTTTACTCTCCCAGCCTATGAGACTTACTTATTTTCCTTTCCTAGATTAATAGATGAGGACACTGACATCAGGTGATATACCTGAAGTTATACAATTAGGTGGTAGAATTAAATTACAAACTCAGATTCCATGCTTTTAAGAATTATGATACTACTTTTTCATTGGCACAGAGATCAGTGTTTGTTCCATCTGCAGTACTAGGGATCAAATCCATGGCGTCTACTCTACCATTTGCGCTATACTTCTAGCTCTTTTGTATGTATGTATGTATTTATTCACTTATTTAGGTGGTACTGGGGTTTGAACTCAGGACTTGCTCTTTAGCAAGTCCCTCTACCAGGCCCAGCCCTCCTGTGCTTGTAGTTATTTTTCAGGCAGTGTCCTGTGTTTTTGCCCCAGCCTGCCTTGAACTTAAGTTCTCCTATTATGGCTTCCTTCATGAAGCTGGGATGACAGACAGATACCACCATGCCCAGCTTATTAACTGAAATGGAGTTTTGTTAACTTTTTGATGAGGCTGGCCTTGAACCGTCATCTTCCCGATCTTCACCTCCTGAGTAGTTGGAATTACAGATATGAGCCACCACATCTGGTCCTTTTGTTTTGTTTATGATATAGGGTCCTGCTGACTTCACCCATGCTGCTCTTGAACTTGTGATCCTCTGGTCTCCACCTCCTGAATAGCTGGGATTACAGGTGTGTACCATCATACCTACTTCTATTTAAGGATTCTTTATAGCAATTTCCCTCTATTCACTAAAACCTACTTCCCTTTCTAAGGAGGCTCAATTTTGTATTATTAAAGATAACATTTTATCATATGCATGTCAAAACTTCTTTCTGTATAGAAGAAAGTTAAGTAGGGACAGGAAAGATTCATGTTTCTCATACAAGTTACTGTGCCCTTTACAGTGAGGATACTTTAATTATTGTATATTAAGATAGAACTCCACTTGTACCTGTAAACTTTTTCTATAAGCTCCAGAAACTCCTGTTAGAAAATTCAAGATATAGCTGGGTAAGGTGGTATATGCCTGTAATCCCATCTATTAGGGAGGCAGAAGTGGGAGGATCATGAGTTCAGGGCCACTCTGGGCAACACAAGACCCCTTCTCAAAAGAAAAAAATCATGATACTACTTTTTATAAATTTCTTGGAGGAGAAATGGTATTCCTTATCTGTTTCTTTTAAATGGGCATGGAAAGAAATAGGTCAAAGAAATGCAAAAGCAACTATCTTCCCCCTGTCTACATCTATGTATCCTTATGTACGTATGAATGTAATGTATGGATATTTTCTACTCAATAAAAGACCTGTGTCATTCTGCTTCAATAAAGCCACACTCCATAATTCCACTGACTTCTAGTGCCAGCTAACGGACTGTACTCTCTGAGTTCTGCAAGGAATGAGGCGCTCTCAAGGAACTATCAGTCGAGGAATGGAGACATATCCTCATAACTCAGGAATTCATGTGCACTCAATTTACCAAAGGAAATGAACTTTCATGTAGTCATAATTTTTGTTTTTAATCCTACAAAATAAGTTACCTTATGATCATGAATAAATGCATCAATTAAAATGATTTCATTATAACATATACATTATCATCTTCTTCAGCATGACTTATCTTACCTTGATCTTTTGGTGATAGTGATATGGAATTCTGCATTATGATGTATTTGACTTGAATAATAACTTTCCTAAAAATAACCAAGCACAAATAATAATTAGAAAACAACTGTGATATTATGTTAAATACATACTAAAACAGACCACAAGCTGTTTTAAAAAGTCTTTATACTTCTAACTATATGACTTATATGAGCAGTAAGAAATGGGCTGAGATATTAATAACTGATGTCCTTATGCTCATCTCACTGTCCTGCAGAAAGGGTTCTATTGAGCATTCTGGAACGGGCATGGAGAGGGATGCACTACAGGGGCCTATGTACAGCTCTGCTGTCAGAGTCATGTATAGGTAAGCAAAATTAGCATTCTCTGAAAATCCCTGTTCTGATAATTATGTCTCATATATCCTGTTTAAGACGAACTAACTAAAATGCTTAACAGTATAGGTAAAGGCAATATAATTGTAATACATTCATTTGCTGAAATATAATTCAGTCATTAAAATGTAGTTATGAAGGTTATGTAGCAACATAAGAAATGTTAATGATACAGTACATAAGATAAACATACTAAATGATACATACTAGCATTATAACTGTACAAAAAACAATAGCATATGAAACCACATGGCAGAAAATTTGCTAATATTTATATTTTCATCATGTTTGGTGACAGAATTATATGTTAATATGCATATTTTCATTGTGTTTCATAATAGAATTATATGTGTCTTTCTCCATTTTAGTTATTTTACAAATAGTCTATGCTGTAGAATTCCATATTAATAAAATACAATTGTTCCTCAATTTCCTTGAGGGATTAGTTCCAGCACTCCCTTTGGCTACCAAAATGCAGAAATCCTCAAGTCTCCTATTAAATGGTGTAGTGCTTATATATAACCCATGTGCATTCTCCTGCATACTTTAAAACATTTCTAGATTACTCATAATATGTATTAAAATACAAATGCTATAAACAGTTGTTACACTTCATTATTTGGGAAATGATGACAAGAAAAAAGTGTGTATGTGTTCAGTATAGATGCAATTTTTTAAAGACATGTTTTGATCCAGTTGTTTGGATCTGAGAATGTGGAACCTGCATATGTAGTTGTTTGGATCTGAGAATGTGGAACCTGCATATGTAGAGGGCTGACTTATTAAAAATAAGACAATTAACATCTTTGAAAAAATACAGGAAAATATTTTTGTAAGATTTCAAACACAGAATTGTTTTTAACCATTAAGGTAAAGAATTCAGGATGAATTTTTCTACATAAAAATTAAAAAAAAAATTTAAATAAGAGTATTTGACAACATTGAAAGGCATAACTTTCATTTTAGCCAAGAGTGAGTAATAGAGACCAGATTTGCCCTTCTGCTTGAAACAACTTAAAAAGGTAATACAGATGAAACAATGTTTTCAAAACACTGGACATCAGTTTCTGAAAAGCTTATCCCTGAGAGACAAGAAACAATGGAGATGAACCCTACAGCTGGGATTCCTAGAGTACTGGAGAAAAGACTGCCATATGGAGAAAGAGTCCCCATTGTATATTCCCCTTCCTAGTAATTACCAGCACATATAAGTGAGGACATTCCCTAAGGCCAAGGAAGGATCCAAAGTGCCTGACACTCAAGAGGGAGGAATATTGTCCGTTCCTAGAGCCAGATGGGAAAGACTCATAACTCACAGGACACGGGGTAGAATACTCATAATGGTCCTGTTTTTATAGGGGGCATAATTAACTGCAGACTGAGAATTTCTTGGGTTTCACAGAGCAAATCTTAAAGCAAGACATGAATGGGTCAACTGTTTCCAAGTACTTTACCTACATATCAGAACAAAGCTCAAGCATACCTACAGAAACACAAAAAATATCCACCACCCCAAAAAGTAAAATTCATAATGCCTGATATCTGCTAAAAATTATCAAGTAGGCAAAGAAGCCAGAAAATATGAGGTATAATGTAGAAAATAATCAAAACTGACCCAGAACTGACACACATGCTAAAATTAGCAGTTAAGAAAATTAAGTGTATAATAGTACTTTGTATGTTCAAAAAAGCTAATTACAAGCAGGAAAGATAAGAAAAATCCAAATAAAACAATTTAAAAGATAAAAGCTACAATGTATAAGATGAAAAATACATGAGATGGGATTAACTGCATATAAGATATGTCAGAATAAAATATTAGCAAATTTTAAGGCATGGCAATAGAGATTAACAGAATGAAGCACAAGGAGAACAGAGTTAGAAAGCAAAAGAACATCATGTACAAGGCAAGCCCTCACAAAAGTTAGTAAGACTCTTATCTCAAAACAAGTTGGGCACAATGGTGAATACCTGTAATCCTGCTACTCAAGAGGAAGAGATAGCAGGACTGCAGTCCAAGGCTGGCCAGTTAGCTTGAGAGCGTATTTGAAAAACAAACTAAAGCAAAAAGGACTGGGGGTGTAACTAAAGTAGAGTGCTTGTCTAGCAAGCTTGAGGCCCTAAATTCAAAACCCCAATATCATCAACCCCTCCCCTGCAAAATTCAAAAGAACAAAGCATCAACTGAGCTTAACTTAAAGAAATTAAGCTTCAAGAAGTCTAATACACTAGTAACTGAAGAGAGATGGAAAAATGAAATAATATTTTAAGAAATAATGGTTGAAAATATTTCCAAATTTGATAAAGGTATAAATACACAGATCCAAACATCTCAAAACAGATGACATATAAGAAAGATGAAAACTATAGCAAGACATATAATGATGAAATTGCTCAAAACTAGTGAAAAAAAGAAAAATTTAAAGACTCATTACATACAGAGGAACAATGTTAAGGACAACAGCAGATTTCTTATTAGAAACCTTCAGGCCTAGATGCTTCCCTGGTGATGTTCACTGAATCTTTTTTTTTTTTTTTTTTTGACAGTACTAGGAGTTTGAACTCAGGGCTCCATGCTTGCAAGGCAGGTGCTCTTTCACTTAAGACATGGCTCCAGCCCTTTCTTGCTCTGGTTAGATTGGAGCTATGGTCTTTCTTTTTTGGCCAGGCTGGCCTGGACCACAATCCTCCTATTTCAAGCTTCCCACTATCACTGGGATGACAGGTACATGCCATCATGCCCAGCTATTTACTGTTGAGATGAGAGTCTCACAGACCTTTTTGCCAGGGCTGGCCTGTAACCACAATCCTAATCCCAGGCTCCCACATACCTTGGGATGAAAGGTGTGTGCTACCACATCCCACTATTGGTTGACATGTCTTGTACATTTTTTCCCTGGCTGGCCTAGAATGGTGAGTTATCTCAATCTCAGTTTCCCAATCGCATCCTTTCAAGTATCTAGAATTACAGGCATGAGGCACCAGTGCCCAACTATCTTACTGAATCTTTAAGGAAAAAATAATTCTGATCATATAAAATTCTTCCAGAAAATTGAAAATGAGGGAATTCTAACTATATAAGAAGGTAGCA